CCCCGGGGATGGGGTCAGCCCCCAGGGCAGGAACCCCAGCGTCGGTCTCCGAGGTGGCTGGGGGCTCAGAAAGGTCCCTGTCCCACGTACCCCCCCCACCCCTCACTGCCGATATCGGTGCCGAGGTGTGGTTCCTACGGAACCCGGGGTATCCCCAGCCCTTCCCTGCCCGCGGGATGCTCGGCAGCAGGACAGCTCAGGCAGGACCCAACCATGCGTCGCTGTCTCGGTGACTTCGAGGGGGTGACCGGTGCACCCCGAAGCAGCGGGGTCATGCCACAGCCGGGGGACCGCAGCAAGGACACCGGCTCTGCGGTGCTGCCAGAAATCCTCCCTCCCACCAACATCTGGGCACAGCTGGGGGACGCTGCCCTTTCCTCCGAAGTGCCTGACCGAGGGACAGCCGGGGCTTTTCCTCGTGGGCATCCCCCCCCAAAACCCCTCCCCATTTCAGCCACCGGAGCCTTGGACCGCGGTGCCCTGCTCTGTGCCGCCTCCGGCATCGTCACCCGCAGGCTCCCCTGCAGCATCTCCTCCCCGCTGCAACGCGGAGGCTAGGAATAACCCATCCACATCCCGGCTGGAAGCGCCTGGGGAAGTCCCAGGGCACCTTCCTCGCTGACGGCCGCATCCCGGCGGATGAGCAGCATCCCTCCCAGGAGGGGATGAGGGGCCCGGGCGGTGTCGGGGTGCCGGTGTGAGCCGCAGAGGGGCTTGGCTTTCCACTGCCCTTCCCAGGGGCTTTGTTTTTGCGGGTGCGCGAGAGCCCCAAGCTCCTTTGAATTCAGTTGGGGGAAAAAAAAAATCAGCCAGAGTTTTGAGCCAGGAAAAAGAGTAACGCCAAGAAAAGCCATGGTCAGTAGCTTGGTTTCCCCCAAGCAGCAGCTTGGACAGGTCTGATCCGTGTCCGCAGAGCGGCGGCATGCAGCGAGGCATGAAAAATCCCCTCCGGAGAGCCACGGCTGGTCTGTGCAGCCGCACCAGCATCCCCGGAGCCTCCCCGCGCTGCGGAGCCACGGGACAGCCGTGGCTGGCAAAGCGAGGACGTCAAAGACACCCAAGGGGACATCTCTGGGGTGTGAGGAGCTTAAGGGGAAGCGGGTGGAAGCCCCATCGGAGGGGTTTAAGCGCAAGGAAGACCTTGGGCAAGACAGCCCCACCCAAGGGGGATGAATCCTGGGCCCCTCCATCACCCCCGTGCCCATCGGCAGAGGGAAGCGGCTGGGGCTGTTGGAGCTCCCACCCGGTGTGGCCGAGCATCGTCCTCATCAAGGCCACCATCTCCCCTGACGCCCGAGTCCCTCCTCTCCTGGGCACCCGCCGTGCCGCAGCCCGACAGCCATGCCCTGCCCGGGGCCCACGGGCCACGCTGGATCCGTGCCCGCCCCTGTGTTTTGGAGATGACGGAGCACATCCGAGGGCGCAGCGGGATAGAGCTGCCCACACCAGGAGCTGCCCACTCCCACGGGGGTGCGACCGTCCCACCTTCCCCAACCCCTTGGCTGCCCCAGTGCCAGCTCCAGCGGTGACAGGGACAGCCGTGCCCGTGTCCCCCGCTGCTGCGGGGCTGCAGGAGGGGCCCCGACGGTGCGGCCAGGAGGGCACCCAGCGCAGGCTGAGCTCCGACTCCAGCAGCGCAGCCCGGGACGCCGCGTGACGCAGTTCCCGGGGGGGTTTGGGTCCCCAAACCTCCCCCCAGGGACAGGAGACATGGGGAAGGGCGAGAGCTTTCCCCTGGGCTGCTCTTCCCGGCGGGCTGAGCCTCCTTCACTGCACCACGGTGCTAAAATAAACTATTTTCCCACCAAAACGATGCTGCTTTTTGCATTCCCCCTGCCCTGCCTTTTTGGGGCTGGCAGTGTTGGGGACCAGGGGTGGCATGCCCAGCTGTGACTCCGTGGGGAGGTGACATCCCCGTTGACACGGCTGCTGCCACAGCATCTCCGTGGAGAGGTTTTGCAGGGCTGGGGGAGCAGGCGGGCAGGGACCGAGCGCTCCAGCCATGGAGGGGCCATTCCTTACCCCGCTCCGGGCAAGGGACACCCCCTCTGTCACCCCCTGCCTCCAGGGCAAGGGGGTGGCCCTGAGGCCAGGCTGGTGGCCTCGCTGCCCCCCCCACCTCCAGGCAACCCAGGTGCCAAGGATGGGGCGCCGCAGAGGCGGAGGGGGATGGAGTGGGCAGGGGGTGGGCAAGGTTTTCCTGGGAGGGGGCACCCCGGGAAGGGCAGGACCCCCCAGCCAGCACCCAGAGGTGACACCAGCCCCGAGCGAACCCCGGCTCTCGGGG